AAGAGATTTTCAAGAAGAAGCTAAGTTAAAGAAGAGATGCAGAGGTGGTTCTACATCAGCTCAGCTTTGCTTTTACACGCAAGTGCAATTCATTTTGCTTACTCCTGCCCTTTGAACACAATTAGGTGTTTCCCACCTCAAGTGAGAAAACGAAGTTTTAATTACCTTGCCAAAAAAATCTAGGTCAACGAAACATCTATAAGCTACTTTAAGCTTTGTGTCTTCCTTCAAAAACCTGCCTCCTGCAGTTACAAGAGAAAATTCATCTAGAAGACTGATTTCTGATTGCTGGCTCAGGATCACATTGTCATGGTCGGATCACAATTTTCTTTACCTGCAAGCTTTACATTCAGCCCCTTCTCACTGATTAACTCCACACCTTTCCTCTCAACCGGAGCTCTAAACGGCATGTAAGAAATCAAGTGTTATTTTCCAGCAATACCATCCTGTTCCTAACATGCCTCCTTATTAAAGGATTCCTTTTTGTTTCCTGGAGATAAGACACTGAGATTGCTTACTTTTATGCTACCAGCTTTCCAACTTGTACTGAAATAATATGGTCAATATTTCATGCACCTAAAGCTTTGTACCCAGCACAATAAGTAAACTTTATAGCACGGGCTAAAATAGCATACAGTAAGGCCACTTCTATACTAGAGCTGGTGAAAAAAAAAGTCTTAATTGGCCATGTACTTCATACAATGCCCCCCTCAAATCCGTTATAGTGCATATAACCCAAAACCCCAGACCTCTGATGATGATAGACTCATGAATGAAACACTTCTTACCAGAAACCTTAGCATTGTTAGTAATGCAGAAAACCTTTTTCTAGCTGTGAATTGGATGACCAAAGTAAACCTATATCCTGAGTTCAGAAGACTAACTTGCACTTCTAGAAACGATACTCAAATCTATGGTTTCCTTTACGTTTCAAAGAAAACGTGGAGTGGGTTTTTTTTTATATTCTAACTTAAAAAGCATAAAGCCACTTGGTCAAGAAAGGCTTAAAAAAATGCTAAGGCTTCCACTTCTTTCAAAATAGTTAAGTAACAACTTTATGAATGCACTCTACACTGTGCTCATTCCACAAATATTACAGCATGCCATTGTACCGGGTGATCAGCAACAATACCACCACCATTTGGCAAATGGCTCTCCTAGCACAGGTTATTTGGAGTTTTACCATGTCAGGAGAAGTAACCTAGGAACTCCTAGTGCAATATATTTATTTCTCCCTGCCACAGACCACCAGAGCCTTTGTGATCCATTATTTTTCACTATAAGGTTTTAAACAACTCACAGCATTGGTATCTTAAGTTAAATGGAGTGACAAGAAGCAGGTGACAAATTAAAAGAAAGCAAAACATTGCATGAAGCAGCAAAAGCAGCTTCAAGTGCCCTCTTGCCACAGCTGTCCGAGAAAGAATCTTTTGCTCTGAGAAGAGTACTGTGAGGTTCTGACTTGCTTGCATGTTTTGTTATGCCTTTTTTCTCCTTTTTAATTGTCCCGTTTTGTGTTATTTAACCACCCCCTAGAAGAGGTACAAGGCTATAACAGAATTTTAAATCTGTAGTTTAAGAGAAAGAACTCATCCATGTGCAAGAAAGTAACAGCCATTCTAAGAAAATAAGAAAGAACCATTAAGTGGACAAAGTAAGAATGGGAAAAGATATCCTGAAAAGAACAAAAAGCACTTCGTTTTGCACATTTCCACCAGATGCGTAACTTTGAGGAGTCAGTTCTAACTTCTAGCAGCTCACTATTTCCACTGGCGTCAGACTTGTAACATCTCAGGACAGCTGTTCTACACACAATTCAACAAGGACTATGCCAAGGACACTGAAAAAATACTTCAGAAAGAACTATCTAGGAACTAGGTCCTGTTCTTATTTTGAACTGTAAATAAGCTGTGTAGCCTTGTAGGTTCTTCCTAAAGCAAGTATCAACATTGCAGTTCAAGCTTTGTATAAACACTGTCATCTTGAATCTACAGCCACCTGTGTATTCATTAAAATGAATTCATTCAATAAAACAGGAACTTCAAAATACAATAAAATGACCAAAGCATGACACTTCCCTATGTAATTCATATACAGGCATGGATGTACTACAACAGCAAATTGCCCAGTAATTTTTTTCAATTCAACTGATAGCTACTTGTGGTTTGAAGTGTGCTACAGGTGTGCTGCAGACAGCTCGAGTTGGCTGTACCCTTCAGTTCAGTTTGCAATTTTCTCTTCACTGCTATACCTCTTCCCAATATGCTGCATCCATATCTACTCCGCTTTGGTGAGACCCTACCTGAGTATGTGTCCAGGTCTGGAGTCCTCAGTACAAGAAAGACTGGACCTGTTCGAGCAGGTCTAGAAGAGGGCCACAAAAATGATCAGAGGGATGGAACACCTCTCCTATGAAGAAAAGCTCAGAGAGTTGGGGTTGTTCAGCCTGGAGAGGAGAAGCCCCTGGGGAGACCTTATTGCAGCCTTTCAATACTTAAAGAGGGCTTGTCAGAAAGATGGGGACAGACTTTTTAGCAGGGCCTGTTGCGACAGGACAACACATAATGGTTTTAAACTAGAAGACGGTAGATTCATACTAGATATAAGGAAGAAATTTTTTACGCTGAGGGTGGTGAAGCACTGGAACAGGTTGCCCAGAGAGGTGGTGGATGCCCCATCCCTGGAAACGTTCAAGGTCAGGTTGGACGGGGCTCTGAACAACCTGGTCTAGTTGAAGATGTCCCTGCCCACGGCAGGGAGGTTCAACTAGACGACCTTTAGAGGTCCCTTCCAGCCCAAACTATCCTATGATTCTTCCAGACAAAAACAAACCAAACCAACCCCCCCAAAAAACCCAAAAAACCCCAATGCTATGCTACTGATGCCACAATGAAAAATTCTTTTAAGACCACTGAAACCTTCCTTTTTTATTCCTCCCTCCAAAGTATTGTGTGCGTCTATTTCCTCAAGCTGTAGTGAAAAATGCAATGAGTTAAATGTGCTTGGAGGTTATGCACTTGGAAATGCAGCTACAGTTGGTTTGAATAAGATGTAAATAATTCATGTCACTTTTTTTCAGAGCAGTTCACGTAAATGAACAAATTCTACATGTTCTTCCATGCCCACATAACACTCTCAGTCCTGATCAGTAATTCTACAGCAAAACCCTGCAATTTTCTCCAGACTGAAAACTGGACTTTTCAATGTTACTGTGTGTCTGAACACATACTTTTTCCACATACCATCCAAAAAACAAACCCTTATCTTTAATACAGACATTAACAAATTTCAAGTGTCTAAAGACAGAAAAAAAAACACCCTGGAACTAGCATCATTTAAGCCTAGAAATATAAAATGACTAATCCCCACAAAACCTAGTTACAACGCAAAATTATGACTGAATACAATGCTAGAAAGACAATAAAGAAAAGTTAAAATGCAAAAAAATTCAAACTGAAAAAAATTTTAAAGCAATCACACGCTCCCAAATCTGTATCAACTTGAATGCATTATGAAACACCCCCATTAAGAAAAAAACAGAACAAAAGCCCAGCCTGAAAGAGATTTGAGAAGAGACATAAAAGGTTAACAGCAGACAACCTGCAACAGATAAAGCTGTCACCTGATTTAAAAACTTCTCCGGCTTAAGAAATACAGTTGTCTCCAGAAGCACTGTACAACAGGCCTGCTTTAGCACAGTGTTTCAATATGTGTTCAACTGCAAGCACATCCTGGACTGCTTCCCTGCGTCAGAACTACGGTGCTCAGCACCGTAAGTCATCAAGTGCATACCCCGTAAGCTGTATCTTTTTCCAACTCTTGTGCTGCAGAGTATGATAACTCTTTGAGACAGAAAGCAATTTAAAAAAAAAGCAAATAAAGCTTGTCTTTATGGCACATCTCAAATTTGAAGCAATACTTCTCCCCTCCCTAAAGTTTTTTATTTTACAAGTAAGATATGATTGTTTCTGTGTAACGCCTCTTGCATTACCTATTACTGTTTCTAGATATCCCCATTTATCTTTCCAGGCTATGTAGATAAGTATAAGCATATTGCATAATTCTGCCTTGAATTCAGTACTGAAGCAGGCAAAGACTATGCACATATTTTTAAGAAGCAAGAATACAGGTATCACAAGGGATTTGGCAGTCTTCCAGTAACCACAAAAGAACACAGACAATAATTTATAAGGTCACCAAGAGTCAGAGATGGTTTAGTAGCTTCTTTTCAACTTCCTCATGTTGTATTTTCATACTTATTGGATAATACCAACAAATAAGGCAGTCTTTCTTCCTAAGCCTAAACAACTAAAAAATACTCCAAAACAGAGACATAATACATATTTTGCTGTAAGTGACACACAAAAGGTGAGTTCTAGCCAGCTTGGGGTATATGCGTATACATGCATATGTGTGTGTCTAAGGGCAAGACCAGAGGCAGGGCTGCCTGCTTGGTGGCCAGGGGAGTCCCAGACAGTGGGGGGGAGGGGTGGTGGTGGTATATTTGTGCCTCTGTGTGTGTCTCTCTCTCTGCAGGATGGGGGGCAGTCTGCACCAGTAACTGCAGTGGAGCTGCAGCCTCAAGGGCTCTTATGTCCAGACGCCAGCAACTGGTGAGACTGGGATCCAGGAGCCACCTAGTGTGCACGCTGACCATCTATGCCCCATTGTTGGAGGGATCCATACTGTACATATCATACATACCCAAATGTTGTACGTATATTCCCACTAGTAGACCTCCATCAGCCAGAAAGCGGAGCAGGATGGGGCCTGTGGTGCTGTTTTGTGTTCTTGCAAGTGCTGTTTGTCTGCGTTATATACACATAAGCACAGGTATGTGGTATACGCATGTGCTGCATGTGCATGTACCTACTGGGAATACAGGCACAGTCTTGCCACTTGTCAGACCCGGGGTCATGAAGATGTGGCAGCCTCGCCTCTCTTGGCTGCAGAATCCAGCCCAGTTCCTGTAACAAAATCCACTAACAGTAAGTTTTTACCTGAGAACAATCAGCCTTGGCTATTGCCGTAGTAGCCTGGAGTACATTACGAAGACTGTCTCCATTTTCTTGGATCAGTAGATAAGCCAGAAGAAGAAAAACATGGATAGGGACTTGAGTTGTAACAGGTAACAGTGATTTCACTGAAGATAACCAGTTAGTAACTGCAGACTTCTCTTTCATGAGCTCTATGATCTTCCAGGTGGTATACAATGAGCTGTAAGAGCTGGTTATGGGGAAAAGGAGTTTGCAGGACACCTGAGAACAAGTGAAACAAACAAAATTCTCAATCAAATATGGTACCATGAAAGAATAAAAAAAACCTAATCCAGATCTGTCATCCAAAACAAACCTTTTTTTTAGGGCCCCAATACAATAAATGTAAAGAACAAAGTGCAATACATTTGTTTACAATCCTTTATATGAATTCTTGCACTAAGGATGTTTGAATGGGTTGCTAATTCCCTATTCAGGAGTTCCGCCTTTTATTTGGCATCCATCATTCCTGTTCCTGCTGGTAACTGCAGTGCTACTTCCTCACTAAAATGGACACAATAACACTGGAGTACATTAAAAGCTTCCATTCCTGACAATGACAGGTGCATCACAAAAGTTTAAGTATCATCTACATTATTTTAAGGAAATTCTCTTAACTTTTCATAGTACTTAATAAAACACCACAGTTTAAATTAATCTGACTTTACATTTTTTGTTTAACTGTTTAACTTCTCAGAACAAAATGTTCTATAGATGCAGTCATGGAAGATAACATTTAGAAGCAGGAAAATAGTAAAATACAAGTGAGGAATCCTCCTAACTCAGGTTTTTATATATGCAAAAGTATATATATTTTAAAGCTCCTGCAAATTAATGTGGAAGTTCAAAGTTTTTCATTAAAAATACAAGACAAACCATCTCTTTCCTAATAATTGTTTCCTTAGAAAATGCAGTGTTTTCAGAAATGTCTTTCCATTATCAAGACGGTAATTGGCAGGCAGTAATTAGATGAAGAACATTTATATAAAACTCAGGTCAAGAAAGTATTTGAAAAGACGTCTCCAAATGAACATTAAAAATAGAATTCAGACTCCAACAGGGCAGGGCCCACTCACCTTTAAATTACCAGGCAAAAAGAGATTTTGAGTGGCAAAAACTGTTCTCCATAAAACTGCAGAATTTCATTTTAATCACATTGTTCAATGCAATGTAAATTTATTTTGGCTAATGGAAGGTAGAATGCCCCTGTACTTTAGATGACCTTTTTAAAATAACATTAAAATTAGCTTATTCCATTACTTGTGCATTACAATTACTGTATGTGAAAATTCAGCAGTTTATAATGCCATCTCTCTGCTGGCAAGATCACTTGGAGCGAAAAATCTCTTCTGGATACAGTTGTGAAACTGCCATACATTGATGAAAGTATTTAAACTTTATCCAAGGACATACAGTGGGCTAAGAAGAGCTTCAGGATCTGTAAAGTTGTACTGATTAGTTGCCTGCCCCTACAGGATCGTAGGACTTGAAATCAAGATCAGACTATTACAGGTTTGTTTGGGTTTTTTTTTTAAATGCCTGGAAAAAACTGCTAAAATTAGTAGAGCCTGAAATATTATATTGATATTTCTCATTCCTCATTACTTTCCCTAAGGTTTTGCTACACAATTGTACTGACTCCCTTCTCCCTTTATTTCAGCTGCATGAAAACAAGCTATTACCACATTTTTATTTTAATGCTGCACCCCATTCAAGCAGGTTAGGTAGAAAATTTCAGTCTGCCAACACTGAAAGATATATATAAAATCCCTCAATGGCAAAGTAGAAGTGCAGGTCAGCCACGTCCTAACATTTTTCTAAATCTTGAGACTACAAGTAGAACAATTCCCCATTACCATCACTGCCAAGAAAAAAAAAAAGCCCTTGAAGAAAATATAGCTTTTGGGTGTGGTTAAAAGCAAAAAAGAAGCATACCAGCTATGGAAAGGCAGCCACATACCTATTAAAGACTATGAGAACCTTGCTAGGGCACACAGAGATGCAGACAAGAAGGTTAAGGCTCCACTAGAACTGAAATTGGCCAGAGATGTCAGGAAGAAGAAAGGGTTCTTCAGATACGTGAGCAGTAAGCAGGAGCACAGGGAAGACAGGCCGATTACTAAACAGGGCAGGGAAACTAGTTACAAATAATGCTGGCAAGGCAGAGGTTCTCAATACCCTCTTTGCCACTGTCTCTACTGGCGTAGCTGGACCCCAGATCACAGGATCAAGCAGCTACAACAACGCATGGATTGACCCACCAGTAGTGGCCCTCTGCAAGGGCTCAACCCACATAAATCATAGAATCATAGAATCATTAAAGGTTGGAAGAGACCTCCAAGATCATCGAGTCCAACCATCTACCCAACAACACCATGCCCACTAAACCATGTCCCTAAGCGCCTCATCTACCCGTCTTTTAAATACTTCCAGGGATGGGGCCTCCACCACTTCCCTGGGCAGCCTGTTCCAATGTTTAACTACTCTTTCAGTAAAGAAATTTTTCCTTACATCCAATCTAAACCTCCCCTGGCGCAACTTGAGGCCATTTCCTCTCGTCCTTTCGCCAGTTACTTGGGAGAAGAGACCGACACCCACCTCGCTACAACCTCCTTTCAGGTAGTTGTAGAGAGCAATGAGGTCCCCCCTCAGCCTCCTTTTCTCCAGGCTAAACAACCCCAGCTCCCCCAGCCGCTCCTCATAAGGCTTGTTCTCCAGACCCCTCACCAGCCTCGTTGCCCTTCTCTGGACACGTTCCAACATCTCAACATCCTTCTTGTAGTGAGGGGCCCAAAACTGAACACAGTATTCGAGGGGCGGCCGCACCAGTGCTGAGTACAGGGGCACTATCACTTCCCTGCTCCTGCTGGCCACACTATTTCTGATACAGGCCAGGATGCCGTTGGCCTTCTTGGCCGCCTGGGCACACCGCCGGCTCATGTTCAGCCGGCTGTCGACCAACAGCCGAATAAAATTTGTCGCCCTCTTTCAGATGGACCTGGACAGGCTGGAGGAGCAGGCTAGCAAGAACTGTATGAAGCTCAACAAAGACAAGTGCAAAGTCCTGCATCTGGGACAACGTAACCAAAGAGTCCAGCACAGGCTACGATCTGTGTGGCTGGGGAGCAGCCTTGCTGAGAGGGACCTGGGGGTCCTCGTAGACAACAAGCTGAACATGAGTCAAAGCACTGCTGCACTCATGTTCAGCTCAAGGCAAATTGGATCCTGAGCTGCATCCGCAGGGGCATTACTAGCAGAGACAGAGACATGATCATCCCACTTAACTCAGCACTTGTCAGGCTGCACCTGGAGTACTGGGTCCAGTTCTGGTCCCCACAATTCAAAAAAAGATGCAGACAGACTGGAGAGAGTCCAAAGGAGGGTCAAAGGGCTGGACAACCTGCCCTATAAGTTAGGTCTTTTCACCCTGGAGAAAAGAAGGCTTAAGGGGGATGTCACCACACTTTTCCAGTACTTGAAGGGCAGCTACTAAGAGGACAGAAGCTCTCTCTTCACAAGGAGCCACATGGAGAGAACAAGGGGCAATGGCCACAAGTTGCTGTGGGCATTGGTGTAGATGCACTTGAGCTGGGCTATTGATTTTGCCCCCAACATTGGCATGCCACCCCTAGGCATTCTTTCAGAGCAGAGTAAGGAGTGTAGGCTTTACTGAACTTGAAAACATTTATCTTTCATTAGGAGTACAAATGGGCTTGCCTTTTCAGATTTGTGGAAATGGAAGACAAAGTTGGAGAGGGATTCCAGGACAAGGAGACACGGTGGAACTCAGAATTGGCGTCTTTTCTGTCTCCAACTCATCCCATCACCACCCTCCCTACACCACATAACAGCAGTGTAAAGCAGAAAGGGAGCTTAGCTTCCACAGTGCTAAGAACATCTTGATCAAAGAGACTTGCTGTCACCTGTTCTCAGAACATATGGGACAAGTGGGTGGAGGGCAGCTAAGTGGGACATAAGAAAATAAATAAAAACACAAAAACAACAGCACAGGCAGAAAGATCCAGGATAATGAGCTTAAATTTGATAAGTGACAGTTATGTGCTCCGTAACTCTCTTCAGCCAAAGGAGAAAGAATGGTAGCTAACAGCCACATACGATGGTAAGGAAAAGGATATAGATGAGTAGAATAAGCAAGTCTGAAAGAAACAAAGTTAAGTATGCATAACCTTGTTTTCTACTAAGTCCTGTTACTTGATTAATAATGCAAGTGAATTTTTTAATCTATACGGTCTCTAAAAGTAAAAAAATCCCATCTCCTAAGTAAAACAATATCTAGCATACAAACACACTTCCTCTTTACCAGTAGTCTAGTTTTATGGACTATATATATTTTTGAGTATTTCCATACAACATATTACACAAAGAAGCTCACAGATGTAGTGTCTTTCCCAAGCAGCTAGGTGTAATGCAGCAAAATTGTTAAATGCATCCCTTGCCTGCCCCAAAAGAATGAAAAAATCTTGTAACTTTACCAATTCCTTTTTATCCTTCACATCTTTCTCCTGTAATATTCCCAAAAGATTTACAGCCAGCTGCTGCCTGGTAGTTCCAGAATCATCCTCTGATATGCAGTCCCCAACTGTTGTAGAAGATAAGATCTGTAGCACAGGCATCACCAAAGTAAGGGCTGTGGTTGAGATGTTCTGGGTTTCTGAACAGGAAAGGAGCTTGTATGCTATTTAAGACAAAGCAGGGAAAAACGAAGATCACATAGGGGAAAAAAGAACTAACATAATTTGTACTTCTAGGCATGACACAAACATTTCTAGGGAACACTGGTCGAGCAAAGTAACAGTCCCCAGAATTACAGTATGTGCATACTAGAGTTAAAGTGCAAAAGATGTTTTGGTAAAACTCCAATTCTATTTAGAGACCCATATATTTCTGTTGTTTATAGCAAAGTACCTGATGGCAGCAAGAAATACAATAATGGAAAGTAGCACAGTCCTTCGTTTTTACTGGAATAACTCCACTGATCAAAACTGCTAAGTTGAAAGCTCAGCCAAACATTGCCATGACTGTCAGGCCTGCTCTCTTAAGATCTGTCAAAGGAACCATTCAGGATGCATGAATCTCAGTTGAGAATATCTTGTTGTTCACTCAAAAATGAATCAGGTAAGCTCCAAGATAGCAGGGAGCTTAGAATACAGTAACATACATCCAAAAAGTCAGTGTAGCAGTAAGATTTTTCTTTATTGCCATTAGATTAAATGTTACTTTTTAAATTCAGGAAAATCCTGCTTATAAAAAACATTTCACCACCCAAACCAACTTCAGGGGAATGCAGTGCTTATTTTCATAAACATGAAGAAACAAAAACAGTCTTAAGAGTGTGGATTCCTCTTTCACAAGGAGAGCTTTACCTAGACTCAAGACAGACTTTTGCTGACTTTCTGGTGTTTGCAGCAGTAGAAGCGCTAGCCCAATTATACACTGTTCCACTGGAAATACCTACAAGGAAAAAAGAAAGATGTTCAAGTCGTCTGTTTTTCAGTGGCATTAAACACTACAAATGGGCAACAACTAAAACTGTGTAATGAGTTTCTTCATGAATCAGTGAGTGCACACAGTGACACAGCACATGCAATGAAGAATATGAATAGTGTAACAATAGTATTTTAACTGAATAACTACAACATTTTAATTTGTTACTTCGTTCAAACCATTTTAGCTCAGTTTAAACTAACTCCCATACTAAAAGGTTAACTGATATATACAGAACCAGTTAAGTTTTGCCTTCTGAAGGTCTTCAACCAAGAAAAAAAAAACAGAAGCTTTTGAAACAACACTGGTCACTTGCAGAAGAATGCCATGTATCAATGTCTCTAAATACTGTCTTAAACATGACATTCTTCAATAAAAATATGTTATTTTTTTCCCCAGGAACTCTTACCTCTTTTAAGAGCTCAAAGTTGTCCTCTATTAAGGAGATCAAAGATGAGCATTCTCCTGTTACATTTAAACACACTTCACAGAAGCATAACAGCTGCAGACAAAACTGGGATAACTGAACTTTCCAAAACACAGGATACCGCAGTAGGCTGAGGAATAGCTCTTGCAGGAAAAACAAGGCTTCTGTAACTTGCAGTAAGTCTTTAAGCTGCAGAGAGGTAATTAAAAAACAAAATAAAACAAAACCATAACACAATCTGGTTTAGTTCCCCTTCCCTATCTATGCAGAATTGCCCAAGTTTAGAATTAGTTCTGTTAGCCCTGCAATGTTTCCATTGCAAATATTAACTAAGACTTTGAAGAAACACATTTATAAACTAAACCCAGGAATTTCTTACCCAACTTCCCTGAAAAAACAATAGATGAACTGCTATTTAATGTTTTGAAGTAAAATCAGGAACATGTGAAAGAATAAAAGGATTTCTTGGTAGCTCGTGAGAAAAATCAATTTTTCCTCAAAAGCAATAGCAAATTAATTCAGCTCTCAGGGTTCTTTCAGCAACATAAAACAAATTGTGTGGGGATTTCATCCAGCAGGTAAATATTCTTGTAACGGAAACATCCTGCTCTAGGATATTTCCTCTGTAATGTAACCAAGATTTCAACATATGTCTCAAAAGAGTGTTATCTGCTTCTAGAGCACCACATAATCTACCTACTACAAAAATGAAAAGCTGAAGTGCGATACCCAAAAGTAGTATCTCCATACTTGGAAGCCAAATAAAGAGGTTTCATGAAGCAGATGACGTCAAAACCGTAATGTGTTAGATGAGAGCATTTCTGCTCTTGAAAATTCTAGTTCCAGACAAACCCAACTGTTCCAATCCAAATTCTGGAGCCAGCATGAAGGATAACATCTCGATTTTTAGTCCCTTGGAACAGATTCTGTGAATAATCTGCTCTGATCAGAACCCTCATGTCGACTGAATTTTTCAACAGAAAAGTCTGCAGGTGACAAGCTGTACTTTTGACAGCTTGGTTGATATTGTTAGACAAAATGACTAGGAAGCATTTCAGCATTTATACAATACCGATGATTAAATAAGGCTAAGCTTAAAGGAAGGATAAGAAGAACCTGAGGTTCAGAGAAAGAAGGAGAAGGAATGACAGGTTATAAAACAGTCCACCAAACAGGCTTCTTGAAGGAAGTATTCCCTTTTCCATCATGAAAGTTGTATCTCAGGCAAAACAAAAACATTCAAGTATTAATCTGAGTTTAAAAAAAAAATGCAACAGATTTCCTCCATGCCAATAAGCATGGAAGAAAGAAAGGTTCATAACTAATTTTATAAGTCTTCTTCAGTGCCATTTTTATGGCTAAATGTTACCAAGTCAGAAGCTTGGTCAGGATACAGTGTTACACTGAAGTTCAGGTAGAATCAAGACAAAAATCAGAAATGTCCCCATGACTAGAAAAAGTCAGCATGTACCTGTCATCACAAAAAATAGACCTGAACCAACATAAATGTGTATAATACAAGGTATTATTTGTCCAAAAGATTGTGAAAAGTAGCTACCAGTAGCAAGAGGCTCTCTAGTAAAATTCCTCAGGAGCAAGATGCTACCAAATATCCTCATGTAAAGCCTATTTAGCTTCACTTTATCAGTATTATCGAGCCTTCTATCTGGCAACACCATAGCACCTCATGTTTGACTGAATGTATTTGAAACTGCAGGTGTTGCTCTAATACTGAAGAGGAAGGAAAAGGTACATCGGTACTAAAAAGCTTAACCAATGTCACAGTAAAGCATGATGCAAAGCAGTGCTATTTACCTTAACCAAAACCCTAGACCCCTAACCAAAGTGAACAGAAAGACTAAATCCTTCACTCCTAGCAAGTATCACTGTGCAACTTAAAGATACACTCAAACACGTCAGCATATTCCAGAAAGATTAAGTTTTGTCTTCAGATCCACTAATCCCTCTGTTACAAAGTGTGAGAAAGGAATATCTAGGAGTACTTAAATCATGCTTCTGATATATACAGTTTGTTTCATTTTAATATTTTCCACGTTAAGTTAAAAATAGCATGTTTTTGACAAATATCTTAACCATTTAACAACAGTCTCTCATGGGTATCTCTACAGTAGTTTACTGCACGTTAACTGAGGCAACTAGTGACAAATAATTACGGTAAACATGTTTCAATTTACACCTTACCAGGTATATCAGATTTTAGCAATTAAAAAGTTTTACCTTCTACCAGAAAGAGCCAGTTAGATTTCTGTACTACCAAAAAATCAGGTCTATAGGCAATGGAAGAGAATGCTGTATTTGCACACTTTAAAGGCAATAATACTACCATCATTGTTTTGACAGCATTTATTTGTAAAAGGTGGGGTCAGGCAACAACTGTACCTGAAGGTGTGGAATCAAATCACACAGAAGTTGAAGAATCTGGCATTCCAACACGGAGGGTGCTTCTTTGTGCTTTGGACCATGAGGCTGAAGTAAGATCTTAAGTAAACCCATTCGCAGTTCAGCATATTCCCGTAACTGAGATGGTTCGCAATACAGGTATCTTAAAAACGGAGCCATTATGCCAACACATGAACTCTGTGCCCTGCAGTTCAAGAAATAAGTTTGCCAAGACTGCTTTCTACTGAAAACTTAACAAACAAGGAAAACCCAAGCCATGTGACATTCCCTGCAACAATTTACAGAATGCAATTAACAGAAAGGTGTTATGAAAGGCATTACTAAATCTCACAAAAAACCTTTGACTTACTAGTATGAAGTACTGTCATGAGACCTTATACAGCAGCCATACAATGAAGTGCAATTGTGAAAAGACTCAATATTTAAGCATGAATACTACTCAGTATGTACCCCCCCCCGCCCCCATCAATTCAAGAAAGTTACTTTCCTTGCTGAATGTCATGAGAGACTAGTGTGCCATTCTGAAGTAGCATTTGGACAAGACTATTCAGAAATATCTTTTTAAAACACATAAAACCTAATTTCAATTAAAAAGAGCCATCCATTCCGTGTTAGTTTTTGCCCAAAGGTCTTAAACAATTACATGAAACAGGAACTGCTTTAACCAAGATGGCTTCCCAGTAAAAAATGTATCACGAAACAATTCTTTTGGCTTGACCATATTAGGAATACCAGCTGTTCTTCACATTATTAAAACAATCAGATAAAGATAATGATCAATACATTAACAAATATACACGGAATCAAAATTAAAAGTCAGTTTTAAACAAGACTCAGCCCTGATGCAGAGCTTTACAAAGAACTCAGTAATAGATCTACATCAACATATGTGGCGCTTGTTGACATGGCACTTAGGGAAATGGTTTAGTGGTGGACTTTGTAGTGTTAGATTAATGGTTGGACTCGATGTTCTTAAGGGTCTTTTCCAACCCAAATGATTCTGTGATTCTATATTTCCAGTCTAGAACTTTATTCCACAGAAACCTTTTCACAAAAAGCAGCAAGGGGAGTTTAAGATCTTTTCCTTTTCAGCAAGAACAACTCCTGTTTTAATTCAAAACAAGCCACCAGCAAAAAATTCACAGTCTTTTCCATCATTCAGACATCTGACAGGATGCTTCACAAGTCCCAGATTTAGCAGCTGAGTGGAAGAACAAATCTGCAAACAGTATTTTAAAAATACTCTGATCAATTAAATTGAACAAAACACACTTTTGCTTGAAAGTCTTACCATTGATCATGTAGTCTATGCCCACTAGAAATTTAGGAGGTTAATAAACTTATTTGTTTACTCAGAGCAACAGAATACAGAAGTCAGTTTCGCTGTACTATTACTCTGTTGGATTTGTATGAGTCTTCCAGAAAACAGGAGAAGAGAGATATTTTTTATCTGAAAAGCATATATATAGGTGTAAAATCACTGAAAACATTTGGCTTTAAGGCTGCTACAGCATTTGATATCTTACACTGAAGCTTTATTGGGCAAATTCCTTGGAGGTAAGCATGAAGAAATGTTGAAATTGTTGCTAGCTTGGATATTCGTTCATTGTTAAACATATTTTATAATAAGGCTGTGCCACTGATTTTTTCTATTTTTTGTTTTTTAAATCAAGAAGCATACATAATTTCTAAAGACCTTATCGTTTACTGTGATATAATCGTCTGTGCTTTCCCTTTATCATCCCACCATTTTGTATAGATGAGTTATACCTGCATACTAGTCTTTTTTGACTAAGCAGTCAAAATCTTGACAAAGCAAATAATCAAAATTGCTTATTTTTTAAAAAAAATTCCAAAGGTGCTATCAATTTTGCACCAATTTTTCCACAACCATAAAAATATCAACATAAAAGTTAAGAAAAAACCCTGTAAAAATCAATTTGATAGATTATTCTAGTATTTTATTAATATTTTATTTTAACCTTTAAATGGTGTCATTAAATTTTATCATTATCTTTTGCAAAAAAGAGAATTCTCACTGCTTATTGAAGCTACCTTCAAGAAAAAAAGTTACACTGATACAATTCAGTTATCTACATTTGCTATTTTTTAATGATTCATTCATTTACCTCTCTGGACACTGATGGAAAAATACTGTTATCTGCTGCAGTAGAACTGGCCAGCAATCAGGTCTGTTTTCAAGGACATTAATCAATGGATGAGGAGTGTTCCTGAAACACAAAAAAAAAATCACATTTGGATCTATAATGCAGAAAGTGAATGTGCAAAATAACTGTCTTCAAAACAAAAGCATCTGTAGAAATAAGACAATTTAACCCCCTGGTATTACCAACACCCTTTACCAGCTTTGCCAAGACTCCTACACTGTCAGATGAGCACATTTTATAGGAACTTCAGGAAACAAGATTAAAACAAAATCTCTATTCAAAAAGTCTTGGTTTAATTTTTTTTTTTTAAATAAATGTCTAAAGATCACTGTTCAATGTGTGGCCTGATCTGAGTCCTTGGTAGCAGCACTAGGCTCTAGCAGTGCACTGCAAGTAATACCCACAGAAAAACTTGAACCACATGTCACACATCAGTCCAGTCTTTCAAGCATAGGTACAAATCTTCAGCACCTGAGACCAAACAAGGTGACCATCATCCCACTTCCTACTTTAAATCTGCTCCCAACTTATTTATTTGTTTTTCCTTGTTTTTTTTTTTTAGGCAGTGAAAGAAGCAGGAAAGGAGAAAGGCTAGCCATACCACCAGCCTAGAGACCGCCACTTTACTGCCAGCCCTCTGACAATGGTTGCATTTGAAAAGGTCACTGAGGCCTACTAGTCACCTGTTCTTCTCAGATGAATCTATCACGAACACCTTCCCCACCTCCAAAGTCAATGAGTGAAGGCCATCTACACCACCTAGAAGTGAGACGCTTGCATCAAACAGTGAATACCCTGGTACAGTAGCAGGTGGAGGAAAAGCTGTGCCGGAGAGGAGCCTGAAGTACATAATTTGTTCTGTCAGAAGCAAAACCAAACTCATTTGACTAGAGTAAGTTAGCCTAAGAAAAGAAAACACAGTACAAGGGTCTGAACATTAAATTTCCTGGAGAGGTGGGAAATTGGAAAGAACTGGTGATGTGAAGGCAGGTTCATCGCTACCTCCATCACCTCATTCTGGAGTTTACCCACTGTCCTTGCTGTGACTGGCCCCATGTTCCCACTTGCCTGCTAAGTGTCCTTATTTCCCCCAGTTTCCTTTCCTGCTTCAGCCAACTACAAGCAGAGCAGTGTAGATTCTTCTCTGGGATACCAACAGCTTAAGAGCAGACAACCAGATACTTCCCTGCTCTCAGAGCAGAAACAACTTTCCTTCTAGCAAGAGAGAAAAGTTGGAAGAGAAGAGTCTTGCTGATTCCCACTGATCTGCTAGACACATGTGAGAGAGCAGGGCTACATAAATAAATGGAAAGGCAACAAATGCATTGTTGTGCACACCACACAAGGCTGGCAGCCATAGAGAGGGGCAGCATACATCTAGGAACTGCAGATGCCGCAGACCACCGCCTTCAGTTTGGTTAACCATCTTTCCTGTTCATATGTCCAACAAACCTGTGCTACACACCAGACAGACTTTCAGTCAGTTTTACCTATACAGCACTAGATGATCTGAGACCCACCAACTGAAGTGGTACATCTCAAGAGAGACTGCCTCAGTTTCAGACACTTAACCATGCCTTTTAAATAAAATAGTGAGAAAGACTTAAAAAAAAAAAAAAGAGAGAGAAGGACAGCACACATACCCACAACACACAGCTCTAACATAACATTAAGGCTCCTTGCGTGTGTTTACAGGCCAACACACGCATCTTTCATGCATGTGAGCTCTCTCACTTAAAGGATAGCAGATATGGAACACTGCAGTGAAGAAACTGTTTCTTGAAATACTGTTAAATTTTACTGCAGTGAATGATATAGTCAAATAAGCCTTTTAGAAAGGATTTATAATGGTATTTGGTTTGTTATTGTTGTTTTGAAAACCTGTAAAGAGCAGAAAGCCCAAGATCTGAAGCAGTCTTTTTATTACAGAAAACAACATTCATTGAGACACACTTGTATTCAATAGCATTGTGCTACGACACAGGCTTCATCCCGAGTAGCACCAAACAAACCCAGCTCCAGGTGAAGTGAATGAAATCTGCAAGAATCCCATAAAACAATTAAAAACATATATCTATTTTTTTCCATCACGTAGCAAATTTGAATTGCATGATGTGATGGTGTATTAAGGCTTCCCTTGAATGAGCTAAAGAGGTAATACTTACCTGCTATAAACAGGAATGTTTAGAGTTATGCTATGCCTAGTAAGATACTGTTTCTGAAAAAACATAATCTAGCAGACATATCCTTAAACTAAAAACGGTGCTCCTTATGTTATTTTTACGTTCTCAATGTTAACATTGTTTGAATTCTGGGCAACTGACTAGTTTTGAGGATAATCAGAGTAATAAACATTGCCATTAGCTGAATGAAAGGCCCACCAAGTTATGAAACCTGGTGACAGAATATTTTACATACCTAATGCCTCTTGTTTTCTTCACAATGTGGTCAGAATAGAGCTAGCAACCAAGGAAACTGCAAATATCTACTTCAGTAGAAGACAACAGTTAAATATGACAATATGACCCACTGAACTGTGCAGCTGTGTAGCTCAGGTAAAAGCACTAACTGTGGTGTCCTTGTATGCTACAAAACAATCTTAAGAATTCTGAGATATCTGAACAGAAAATAAGTTCTGGTCAACTGCTTCTCTTCAAAAGCTTCAAACTACATTGGATCTTAAGGTGGAAGTATGTAGGAAATTTGCTCTGACTGACAAAGCACTTCCTGCCATGGAAGGATATTCACAAAGCAAAAAGTGTTGTTAATATGCTTTCAGACATCAAGAAGAAGCTTTTATTTACTGAGAGAGACTTAATTGCAGTACTCAGGACATCAGCCTATAGGCAGTTGGTCTAAGCCAAGAGAATATTTAGAATATAACTTGTCAGCAAGAAGGTTAAACCTGATTCAGGTAATTTCTATTTAGACATGAAGACAACTGTGCCTTTAAGAAAACAGCAGAAATACACAGGAATGCAGTAAAGCCAGATAAAGAAAACCGTTGCTAAGTCATCTCCATATACAGACACATTAGAGCCTGTACACTACCAAGACTCGGAATTATGACCACAAATCTATCTTCAAAATCTATTTGCAATGAACATGGCAAAGAACACTAATTTCTTGTAATACATAAATATGAGGAAGTAAACATTCTTAGTAAGGTGACCTAAATAGTAGAAATAATTACAAAATCAATAATAAAGCTGAAAAGCCACAAATAGTGTCTGAGCAATAAAATCAAGGAAAACCACCACCCATATGGGCTAACGGAACTGAGAGCAATTACAAGGCTATTGTACCTACAGACACAAGGAAATTTAGCAATGGAACCTGAGATCTTACGCCTGGCACCTCTTTAATGAAGCTTAAAAGAGATGAAATTTAACATATTGTATTTAAATCTTTATAAAAATAGTAATTAGTAGCTTTCAGCTTACTCTGTTAAAAACAAGCAAGTTAAATTTGGAGGTGATCTCGTGCTAAGATAATGAGACCAGAAGAATTAAAAATAAAGTAGCTGGACAAGCTCTTCAGGAGCAGATATATAGCTTTCTGTCTGGATTAACTGAACAGCTTTTAAGTTAGTGCTGTCTTAGCATTTAGAAAAAATCACATTAACAAAAAAGTAAGAGAAAAGCAAAAATAGAACAAACTCTGCTTCCAAACCACTCAACAGCATAAAAGCATATAGTTTTGCACACTTACTGATCCATGTTCTAACAAATAGAACATTAGATGAGATTCTATTTGGAATTGCCAAAAATCACTCTAGAAAGCAGCGTAGGTACCATTGCCTAATGGGTAGAGGGGGGAAAATAAAAGCAGGGCAAGGGGCATGGGTTGCAGTAGATTTCAGTCCCAGCACTGAAGTCTTTTGCAGCCTATGACTGGGATAATTCCAAGAGTTGCAGGTGCCATCTTATTTCAGTGTTGCATTCAGCATAGAGAAAATTTACCTCAGCTCTCTGCGCGACGTGCTCCAGTGCTCATAGTAAAACATTTTTCCTTATATCCAGTCAGAAACTCCTGGAGAACTACAGACCTGTTAGTCTAACCTCAGTTCCTGGAAAAATTATGGAGAAGATCCTACTAGGTACTATTGAAAGGCATTTAAAGAACAATGCAATCATCAGGCACAGTCAACATGGGCTCAACAAAGGGAAAATCCTGTCTAACTAATCTGATATCCTTCGATGATAAGGTCACCCCCCTAGTGGGTGAAGGGAAGGTGGTGGATGCAGTTTTCTTTACTTTTCTGGATTTAAGTAAGGCTTCTGATACTGTCCCTCACAGCATCCTTCTGGACAAGTTGTCCAACTGTGGGACGAGCAGGTTCATGGTGCACTGGGTGAAGAACTGGCTGAAGGGCAGGGCTCAAAGGGTTGTAGTCAATGGGGCTACATCTGGCTGGCAACCGGTCACCAGTGGTATTCCTCAGGGTTCAGTTCTAAGGCCAGAATAGGGTTCAATATATTTATCAATGATCTGGATGCAGGAGTTGAATGCACCATTAGCAAGATTGCTAATGATACCACACTGGGAGGTGCTGCTGACTCTCCAGAGGGACAAGAGGCCTTGCAGAGGGATCTAGATAGATTGGAGCATTGGGCAATCTGCACCTGGGACGGAGGAATGCCAGACACAAGTATAGACTGGGAGAGGAGTGGCTGGAGAGCAGCCCTGCAGAAAGGGATCTGGGGGTGCTGGTTGACATTAAACTCAATGTGAGTCAGCAGCGTGCCCTGGCAGCCAAGGGAAGCAAATCGCATCCTGGGGTGCAAACACAGTATAAGCAGCCGGTCAAAAGAGGTGATTATCCCGCTGTATTCAGCGTTGGTGCGGCCTCACCTTGAGTACTGTGTGTAGCTCTGGGCCCCACAATTTAAGAAGGATGTGAAGGTCCTTGAATGCATCCAGAGGAGGGCAACAAAGCTGGTGGAAGGGCCAGAAGGCATGTCCTACGGGGAGTGGCTGAGGACTCTGGGTTTGTCTAGTTTGGAGAAAAGGAGGCTGAGGGTCGACCTCATTGCTCTCGACAGCTTCCTGGGGAGGGGAAC